TTAACATGAGAATGTTACTGAACAGTAACAATTTAATTTAAATAAATTAAAACTTAAATTTAATACACACTTGTATAAGACCTAACTAGCAAGGCACGCGCCATGCGCGAGGCTATGTGGCCAATCCAAGCAAATTGTTTTTTAAGCAGTGACTGAAAATTGAAACGTAGAACAAGAGCAATTATTAATAGTTTTAGCACATATAACAATGTAATTAATAACTAGTATCCTACCCGTGCGATGCACGGGAGAATAAAATTTGCATATTAAGAATAAATTTATTAATATAAATTTTTGTCATTTAAACACGCTTTTTTGTTAGATATATTGTGTGGATGAAATGTTTTACACTTTTCACGACCTTAACTTTCTTAGGATCTCAAAGGACAAAAAAATGCTCAATAATGAGTCCATGAGAATATTTTTTGGCCTAAAATTTCTTAGTTCTAGTATCTCATCTTAATATTACAAATATTTATATGTACATAATCGATATAAATATACAAATATTAGTCGATCAAAACCTCTTGATAGTCTTTTAGAGTAAGAATTTAATTGGTGTTGTAGCTAGAAACTCTTCTAAGTTCTACCGAATTTCTTGATATCTAATCAGAAAGCTAAGTGACGACTCCACACGAAGATACATGAATGTCGTCCCTAAAAATAGAAAGCATGTGAATTAACTATACATGACATGATACGTTTTATTTTCAATATATAAGGGAAAAGGTGGTCATTCAAAATAAGTTGTGACATACTGACATTGTATATGGTATTTTAAAATACTTGGTCATATAGTCGCATGACCAAGTACAATACCATGCAATATGTAGCCAAATTTGATTTTTTCTTGTGCAAGGAATAATAAAAAATAGATGAAACGAAAGAGTTGTTATGTTTTTTTGTATTCTTATTACTTATTGGTTATTCTTATTTTATTCAGATCAGAACAGAAAGATTCGGATTAGATCAGATCAGAAACATTCAAATCACATAATTATAACTATAAGTATAATTATAATTATAGTTATAGTTATATGATAATTATATTATAGGTAAAACTAATAATAATAATAATAATAATAATAATAATAATCATAATCATAATAATAATAATAATAAAGGGAAATGAATGTGATCCTGCCAAAACTTTCTATAAAGGGAAATGAGAACTATTTCTTGGGATGGAGGGAGTATAATAATAGTAATAATAATAGTCATAACTCATAATAATAGTGATAATAATAATAAAAATAATAACTATAATAATAGAAATAATAATAACAATAATAATAATGATAATGATGATGATGATGATAATAATTATAATACTTCGTAATAAACACTCAATCAGATCAGAAATATTCAGATCATATCAGATTTGATAAAAAAGATTCAAATCTCAGATCAAAATAGAAATATTCATATCAAATCAGACCAGATCATAAAAAATTCAAATAACATTCAGATCAAATGAACCGAACATCATCCAAGTTTTTCACAATTTTGTTATGCTTCAATGATTTAGGGTCTTAAGTAAGAGTAATTAGAAAATAGTAATGATAATTAACATATTTAGAGATTGTTACTTTTTATATCTTACAATAATTAAAGTAAAATTTAATGTATTTAGTATCTTAGTAAGTTTTACTTTAAAAAAACAAATTCTCAATAATTAACCAATTATAACTTCCATTTCAATCCCGTACTGTTAATATTACCATATAATATTTCCATCTATCTTTAATGTTTTCAATAGTAGTGGGTTTAATATATTAATATTAAGGGGTAATTTCAGTATACACCCTATTTTATTATCCAACTTAGACTTTGCACCCTGTTGTTGAAAAACTTTATTTTTGCACCCCAATCCCATATGAAAAGACAAAAATGTCATTGATCAGGAATAAGTTGAAGGCTGACATAGTTGTTAATGGAGGGGCATTCTGTCTTATCATACAGGGTTGGGGTGCAAAAACAAAGATTTTTAAAAATGGGATGCAAAGTCCAATTTTGACAATAAAATGGGGTGCAAATTCAAATTACCCCTAATATTAAACCATAATAACAGTCATGTATAATAAGAATACTTATAGTACCATACAATATTACCATCTACCTTTAATGTTACAATTGAAGTTTCATCGCACAAATAATTTATTTTTCAAATATATTTCACATCAATTTCGAGTTTTGATCATCAAATATTTAGATGTTCGTTATTAAATGGCTCTAGAAGTGAATAGTTTGTTTGTAATTTGATTTTAATATTTACTGTGAATCGTTGAATTTAAAACTAACTCTGAATTGGTACCAATTTAATGAATGAAAAATGGAGAGTGATCAATTAGAAGTCATATCTAATGACTAATGAGCATCATTATTTATTTATTTAGTCTAGATGAATTCATATCAGGAATGAGTCACCCATGAACTAACACTGCCTTAATAATATTGCAATTGTCTTTCAAAGGGAAACAACCGAAATGGAATCATATTTATTAGAAGATGTCATTTCTCAAGGGGTCATACTTCGTAAAATGAGAAGGTGATTTCTACTGAATTGAATTGTCGGAATAAGATAATACTTCGTAAGTTTTATACTGAAAAAATGAATTGCATAAGATAAACTTGCACGGTTATAACTTAAGGGGTAATTTCAGTATACACCCTATTTTATTATCCAAAATTGAAACGTAGAACAAGAGCAATTATTAATAGTTTTAGCACATATAACAATGTAATTAATAATAGTGTTCATACAACAAGAGACACATTTTTTTCCAATGCTCTGTTAGCAAAAAAGTGTGGAACTACTTCTTGAATACTTTGGGTATTTTTCAAGGTCAAGGCATTGACTATGGAAATTACCTAAACTGGAAATTTAAAGTAGACAACAGAAGTATGGTGGATTTGTTTAGGAAGCATATCCCTGGAATAATTTGTTGGTTTTTGTGGAAAGCTTATGCATCTCTTATTTGGGGTTCAAGGGTTTTAGCTCCTAACGCAGAAAGAATCATTATGCAGATAAAAGTTTACACCCAGACATGGATCTCAAGCATTTCGATTCCCAAAATCAGGGTGATACAACCGATTCTTTTTGCAGAAGGCATTATTCCGAGGGATTTTAATCTGCACAACTACAAGCCACAGATTATTAGATGGAACAAATCACTACCTAAATGGAAGTTAAATGTAGATGCCAGCTACTCATCTGGAAATGCATTTGGAGGGGCGGTTTTGAGAGATACCACTGGCGGCTTTGTCTCGGCAATCAGCTTTCCTCTCCAAGCTCGATCTCCTCTCGATGCTGAACTGCGTGCTATTGTCATCGCGTCCAAATGGGCGATTGAAGCTGGGCATATGGGTTTCTTTGTGGAAACTGATTCGAGGTTGGCGGTTCAGTTTATTGAAAGGGAAGAAGGTAGAAGATGGATGGATCTTTTTCAGGAAACCGCAGAGATGCGAAATAGGCAAGGAGTTTTATTTGGACAGGTCAGGCGAGAAGGGAATTGGGTTGCCAATTATCTGGCCCAAGAGCAGGTTTCCAGTTTAATTAATTATTCTTGTATTGATCAATTGCCTTTATTTGCTAGACGTTCTTATTGGATGGATTTCTATGGAATTCCTTGTATTAGAGAGTAATTTTTCTTCTGGTTTTTTCACCGGGTAAGGTCTGGTCCCCCCGATTTTGTATAATCTTGCTTTTAATAAAAATCCGGTAAACGTCCCCCGGCGTTTACCCCACTGATTTTGGTGGTTGACCTTCCGGGGTAAAAAAAAAAAAAAAAAAAAAAAAAAAAAAAAAAAAAAAAACAACAAGAGCAATTTGAGCAGCATCACTCTAATAAATAATACGTAGTAGTACTCTGCAGAAGTTACCAAATTTGAGCAATTGGCTATAAAAAGGGCACAATTGAGCACAAGTCAACGGGGATGTTTGGCAATTGGCTGTTAGCTGTTGGCCGATTGTGTTAGCTGATTAATGACTGCGGTTTCAGTTAGCTGTTTTGATTAGCTGATAGGATTAGCAGTTTGTCTAATGGTGTTTGGTTAAATGGTTGTTTACAATCAGCAGATAACTTGTTAAATGACATTTAAGGGCATCAATTAATTTTTTATTAATAAAATTAGTTCAACTACTTAAACAAATTTATATTTTGAAAAAACTAAACATATATCTACGCAAGTAATAGTTATTTTTAACTTTTTTCTTGAATTAATAAATTTAATTAAGAACAATGATATGTTGATTAATTAGACTTGACATATTCTAAATCTATATTTCTTGAACTAATAACCCACCTCTCAAGTCTCAACCGAATGAAATGGAAAACACTCCTTAAATACAAACTCTGAATTACTTCTATTTCAATGTTCAAACAACTAATAACACACAAAAAAACACCTAATATTAAAATGCTTCTAACTAGTCTTGCACCCCTACTCCCCTAGCCTTAAAGTATGAACAATTCGTTTTTTCTTCTTTGAGCATGATGTGCTATTGGTGTGTCCTCTTGGCGAAAGGGCTGAGTCGATGAGTGGATCTGTCATCTGTGGATGCATTAGTTAACGTGGGTAAGGAGCATACGTATATATAGAGATGGCTAACCTTAATTGATGGAGTAGAATTAGATAGCTAAATGTGAGAGAAGGTGGAAGATTTTTTTCTTGCTCTTCCACGGAAGCTGCTCTAAATCGGAAGATTTTTCGGAAGTTGGAGGCAGATACTCGTGGGTAGTATAGGAATGATGCGGAAAAGCCAATCGTAAAACGCTACAATTCTTGGCGTTTAAGATATTGGTTGTTTGGGACAAACAGCCAAGTGAAAAAGCTATTTTACCAAACACACATAATAGTTGATGGATGCAGTAAAAAAGCCAAATATGGTCAAACAGCCAAAAATTGACCGATCTGCTCTCAACCAAACACCCCCAACATGTATAAGGGCACAACAGCCTGCAATGTAATAAAAACCAAGAGAAAGAAATGGCAACGCATAGACAAAAGAGTGGTTTGGATTTTACCAATCATAAGTATATTACATATTACAACAAGTTGGGCAAGCATATCCAACCAATTGCACAAAAGGGGCAACATAGTTAGTGCAAAAACATCTATAATTGTATCAAGAAGTAGAGGGACGAATCGTGATCTACTTTCTAATCAATTATAGGCATAAGTTTCATCTTGCAGCAAAAGAGAATATATACAGGGCGCAAAAGGCCATAAGTTAATGAGCTGAAACAACAAATCCACAACAAAGAGCAATAACGTGAATTATGGGGAAAGTGGCAGGTTTTTATTATTATTAGTAACCTGAGCCAGCTTAGGGGAAGTTGCTGCGTGTTTCTGTATTTTGGATTTCAGTTGAGGCACGGGAAGTTCGGCATGGGTGCTGGGGGATCCAGTTTCCCTGGAGGGCACACTTGCAGCGGTCTGAAGAGAATCCAACTTTCTTTTTGTCTGCTGCTGAGACTCGTCGGTTTTATCCTCAAGGTCATCTGGGGAATCTACCAATGGTGTGGGGACCTTACAGAGGCCAACAATTCCATAAGCATTGCGTTGCAAACACTCATCATCCTGTTTAATGCGGCGTAGTCCCAAGATAAATGACAAGTTGGCAATTTCTTTATCGAGGGCAGCCAATTCAAGTTCACCCGAAGGTTGGAGGCTGGTATGTTTCATGATTTCCAGAACATCATTTGTGAACAAGGTCACGTCCACAAACCCTGTGTCATCAGTAACCGTTGCTGCTACTCTGAACCTATATATGAAATGGGAAAAAATATCATTTTTATCGGACAAAATTCATGATATATGCACAACAGTGCAGAGCACAGACCTCTTAACAGTTGTTCCATGTTTTGGCCACAATACATGCATTGAAACTTCATCCCTTTGGCGCAGTTCACTTTTCGATTACAATAGTCACAACCTATGTAATAACTTGCTTCTGTAGGATTTGCAAGGCTAATTGTGCATGTTACCCATGCAACATGGCTCTGATTGAAACATAAAACATTCTGAGATGTCAAGATTGGATTAGTCAATACAGAGGGGTTCCGATGCAAACAATAATAATGATTACCTGGTTTAAGATGCCATGTAATGAAGAAATGGGGTTTTTATCTTTGACAAGGGGATTTGCAAATGCATTCAGATTGTTGTATGTCTTTCCTTCCAATATCATATCAACCTCCCTAGGATTTTCATGCAGCCTATGTAAACAGTAGTAAGTCAATTAAGGTTCAGTTTACCAAACAATAATATGACCTATAAAGATAATATACAAATATTTTTAAAAAGTGATCACATAACCCAAAAATTGAAGTTGGACCAGTATAATATGGCAAACTTATTGAAAGAATTTATGAACTCTCACCATGCTTTAAGTAATCCAGCCCTAGGTCCGGTTGGATTCACTTCTATGTGTGTTCCAAACCTTGTTGACAATGACAAACCTGGAAGTAAGGCAAAACTAATCAGTTCAATAAAAACCGCCAAGATAGGAAGATGTATTATACCACCAGTAAGTACCTTGATACAAGGTGATCGCAACCCTATTAATGAGAACAAGTGGGTAACAACCCTGCTGAAGTTGGGCCTCTATTTCAGGTCCTTGGGCGCGAGCAAAGTCCTCCCATAATGTCAGCACTTTTGACGGTGGAAAGTCAAAAGTACTATTTTGTGTAACTCGAATAGATTTATGTAGTATAAATTTATTTCTAGACGTTTACACAGTTTCCATTCACTGTATTAATGAAACTATTTTACATTTACCTATTTACATTCATAATAAACTTTTATCATTATTTATTGCAGCAAATAAAAAAGTTCTGACCACATAAACGAATGGATTGTAAGAAACAAATCACTAAACTGAGCACGCAGGCACCTAACGTAAAACTGAATCATCATTTCAATAGAGAAGCTCAAACAACATAATCATTTTTGTGCTAACACCTCATAATCCAAACAATATAAATTTGTAATCTATATAACATGATCAGTATCCCAAACTGTATCCAAGAACTTCATTCATAACAAACGTTTTTAAAGTGGCATTTTTTTTGGAAAAACCCATTTTGTTTTGTAACTGGAATATATTTATGTAGTATAAAATTAAATTCTAGGCTTTCACACAGTTCATATTCACTTTATCATGATTTTTTTATTTACCTATTCATGCATAAAAAACTATTTCATATTATTGATTGCAGTAAATAAATAAAGTTTTTCTCACATAAGCAAATGGATCATAATCAATAAATCCCAAAACTAAGCAAGCAGGCACCTAAGGCAAAATAGATCAGACACTCAAGTACAAGACTCCCCATTAAAACTGTTGCTACTTATTAATGGCCCTAAAGCTACACCATCATCCATCGCCATAACACATTTTCTTCAAAAAGGAACCAAAGAAAGCAGCTATATCATACGGAGTAGTATCTTTCAAAAGACCCTGAATGATAGAAATCCAAATAAGTACACTGTCAAGCAATTCCAATTAAATACTCTGTATAACAGTTTTTCTTTCAAAAGACAACCTAGAAATGTTTTTTTTCATTTACTATTAAGCCCATTTATACGAGGGAACCTCCGCTAGCCACTTAAAAGTGCATGGATTGCTTAAGGAGCCTCAATTCAATAGATTATTATTGCACTCTTCAGTGTTTATAGTAGTTATAAATCCACCTGCCAATGAACTACAATAACAATAGACAAATTCTCACTGAAATCCAACACTTATCTTTAAATCCAGTTTGGATTTATGGATTAAAATTAATCTATTTCTTGGGTAAGTGCCCATACAGACTGTCAAATACACAAAGTCTAGGCCATTTTTATGGAATCATAATATGAATGCACCCATATGCAAATAAAATTGGATTAGAGTCCATCCATGGATTGTTTACCTTTATCACACTATTTTGTTCTAAATGTGCATTTTATTCAAGCAAACATGATAACAAAATAGCAGCTGCACAATTTATTCTGAAACCCTAGCTCAAACGTAAAGCAACTCAAGGAAAACATTCATGCATTCAGCAGACATGATAACAAAATAGCAGCTGCACAATTTATCCTTAAACCCTAGCTCAAACGAACAGCAACTAAAGGAAAACATTCGTGGACTATTGATATTCGTGTAATTTCCTATTGTATGTTTGTATTTTTAACTAGTTTTTATTAATTCTAGTTGTGGAAATTACACACTTTTGGTGTAATATTTTATTTTCATTTTTATTTGTAATTTGTTTAGATTAGGATTATTCTGAGCTAAACAGGTCAAAGATCATCCAAGAGATCAAGATTGGACCTTAAAAGATCAAGGAAAGTGGAAGGAAGGTGCAAAAATCTCAAGACAAAATGAAGATCCTGATTTTTGTGTTGTACCCGGTCAGGTATGACCTATACCCGATCGGGTACCTTGCTGAAAAATCAAATCGGATCACGCCCGAAGACAATTCAACATGCAGGGAAGATTTTGACCACGTTCGGATGTCATACCCGATCGGGTGACCGACAGACCCGATCGGGTATGCCCTATTTTTCTGGTTTCCAGGAAACTTAGAAGGTACCCGATCGAGTGGCCTCAAAGCCCGATTGGGTACACATCCCTGCATGCTCCAAACACCTATAAATACACCCCATTTCCTTCACAAAAGAATCACCAATTCACATATACTCTTTAGCTCAGTTTAGATTAGTGTTTTCTTTATATTTTCTATCATGTTTAGTCTCCAAATGAGGAGCTAAATTCTTCCATCTTGGTTTTGCTACTTTGAAGCTTAATGAATTTGTAAGTTGTGAGTTATTCTCTTTAATCTTCTTTCTTGAATATTAATTCTTCCTTTAAATACTCTTTCTATATCAATGTTGGAGAGTGTTACTAAGATGACAATTAGTTAACATCTTGACATTAGTAATAGTAATAGCTATTTCTTCCTCTATGTTAATATTGAGGAGTGTTACTAAGATGACAATTAGTTAACATCTTGATATTAACTATAGTAGGATTCATCTTCTTTAATATTCTTCCTTGAGTATTAATTAATTCCTATTCATATTTCATATTAATATTTTGAACATTACTTAAAGGATCAACTAGTTTTGTTTCATATATTAATTATTACTGGAATTGGTCGATTAATACGCTTGTTATTAATTCGGTCCTTTCACGGTAGTAAACTTGGATTATTAATGCATGCGTTTCATGGTTAATAAACCAAGGGGAATTAGTTATATTGATTAAACCAATAAACCGCTTGTGTTGAGGTTATCAATCTCAATCGTTTTCATCTTGATTTTATCGCTACTATCAAGTGAATATACGGCGCGTGTTCTATATTAACTCGGTAGTAAGTTTTATTAATGAACGCGTCTCGTTATTAATAACTACCCTCGATGAATTGGATATACTCCTCGATTGAGTATTCGAGAGGAAGATAGTTAAAGATATAACCGAGATCGACGAACATTTCATTAAGTGGATAAAAGCAAAGTCAAGTCTTCTTCTCATTAATTAAACCACATAACTCGTTCATCTTCGTGTTTAATTTATTAAACCAAATCAAACTAAAAAACCCCATTTTGTTACTAGTTTTATAAAAAGAAAAGTATTCCTTTCCCTGTGGATACGAACCTTACTACGCTATACTACGTATAAGTGTTGTATTGTATTATTATTTTGAGTGCACACTACGACAAAGTGCACGTCAACTATATATTATTCAGCAGCTATACATCGATTTTGCTCTGCCATGAAAAAACCAAAGCATCAAACAAAATAAATCTATAATTTTTTGACAGAAAATAAGCCACACACAAACCGACAACCCATTTCCACCCCCTAAATCCAAATGATAGAATCCCCCCCCCCCCCCGAAGACCCTGAACAAAGGAAATTCACAGACATAGCTAAAAAAATAAAGGACAAAAACACACAATAGCTAAAAGCTAAATGCGGGATGAAAAACACACCAAGAAGAGCAAAATATCCCAGTTCCGCATACATTAAGGGCTATTTTCAGAACATTCAAAGCAAAATAATGTCACCCACCAAGAACGGAATAGCCAAAAAGAGAGGAAATGAATGTGACCTTCGATATACAATACGGAGTAATCCATAAGTAGGGGTTGTTCTGGATATGATGAGTGCGCTGGCAGTCTGGAACAACACGCAAGGGGTCGGACGGAATGAGAACCACGGAAGGGGAAAGCTCCAACAGTTCTGCTGACAAGAGAACAGTAGGGTGAGGATGGACATAAAATGGAAAGTTTTTTTTTATTTAAAAACGGGAAACAAAATACCTGGACGGCGTGAGAAACAGAAGAGACAGAAGGCTATTTAACGGAAAACATACTGAAAAACTGGAACGGCGTTCAAGTGCCACTTTAAATACGTAGGAGATATTGGAAAAGAAATAGGTTCGGTGAAAATAGAGAATTAAAAACCTCATACTGAAAAGTTGAGAGTAGCTAGGCTTGAATTGTTTTTCTTAAAGGCTAAGTTTATTATAAATTGATATATACATCTATTGTATCTTAAGTTGATGAATTCAGTATCTCGGTTAGACTGACCCTGTCTTTTTTATTGATAGTCCGCACCAACATCATCATCTAACTCCCTCTCCACCCAAACGCACTCAACCAATGACCCTTGCCCGTGCAAACAAGCTCATATTGTCTCTATATCACCTTTACCTCATATTATTCCTACTTATGCTTCCAAGGCTTTACAAGTACTCGAGTGGCGAGGGGCTATGTCTGTAGAATTTGAAGCCTTGGTTCAACAAGGAACTTGGGAACTTGTCCCTGCTCACCCTGGTAAGAATGTTGTTGGTTGCAAATGGGTATATACGGTGAAATACAAGCCGGATGGTTCCTTGGATCGTTTCAAAGCTCGATTGGTGGCTAAGGGTTTTCATCAGTGCCCAGGAGTTGATTATTCTTACACTTTTAGCCCGGTTATTAAACCGGTCACTATTCGGGTTGTTCTCACGATTGCCCTTTCCCATGGATGGTCAATCCATCAACTGGATGTCAACAATGCATTTCTTCATGGGAATCTCCAAGAGGAAGTTTACATGAAGGGAAAAAGACATAAACATGACTAAAACATGGGAGGGGGAAGTAAATAGGAACAATGACTTTTTAACTCGCGTATAGGACCAACTTAAACTGAAGAGACCAAAATAGCCTCTCCTAGGGTTTCGTTCCGGTATATTGACTTTTATCTCTTTTATCGCTTTTGTTTTGATTTAATCTTTTATTGTGTAGAAATCTGTTTTAGGTATATTACTGCTTTTAAAATTGATAGAATTGTTGTATTGTGTTGTGCTGAAAATTTATTATTTATTTGTGGTTATACGGAAGAACAAGGGATTTGAACTTGATTTTGGTGCTCATTAATACTCCCCGCGTGTTCGTGCTAGTTGCTCCGTATATTTGTAGCCTTATAAATATTTAAATTGTTTTTCAGCGATATTTACATTTTCTTTTGTTGCTTATTTTTCTATGTGAAAATGTCTGCTTATAATCAGTATGGTATGGCTCCATTTAATGGAAAATCTGATTTTAGCATTTGGAAGCAAAAAATTAAATGTATTTTAATACAACAAAAATGTTTTAAAGCAGTTGGCGAAACCTATTTAATTTCTGACACGGAAGATAAAAGGGCTGAAATGAATGAAAATGCATGTTCTGTGATTTATTTGAACTTATCTGACTCTAGGATTAGAAAAGTTGGAATTTTAGAGAGTGCTAAAATTCTGTGGGATAAATTGAATGAACTGTATAGTGAGACCTCTTTGCCTAACCGGATGTTTTTACTTGAAAAGTTCTTCAAATTTAGATTGGATATGTCTAGGGATATTGAAGAAAATATAGATTTCTGTACCAAACTTATTTCTGATATTAAGTTGTGTGGTGATAAGCATATAGATGATTATTCCCCTATTACTCTTTTAAATGTTATTCCTGATTCCTTTGGTGATGTGAAATCTGCTATTAAGTATGGTAGAGATAATGTGACTCTTGACATTGTGGTAAATGGTCTTAAGAGTAAGGAATTAGATTTAAAACAGATGAGTGAGGGTAGAAAATCCGAGGAAGTTATGCATGTGAGGGGTAGAGAACATAATAGTAGACGACATAGATCTAAGTCTAGGTCTAATTCGAGGCGTTGCTATTATTGTCATGAATCTGGTCACTTCATAAGAGACTGTCCTAAATCTAGGAAAAATGAGCATAGTGAGCATGCTAATTTGACTACGTGTGAAGATGATTTAGGTGATGTTTTATGATGAGTAATCTATGTGATTTTGACTACTTGAGTTCTGTGATATCTGATTCTTTGGTTAAATCAGATTGGGTGGTAGATTCTGGTTGTACTTTTCATATGTCCCCTTTGAAAAATGTTTTTTGAAACTATAGAGAGATTGAGCATGGCTTTGTGTCTTTAGCAAATGAGAAGAAATGCAATGTGCTAGGAATAGGAGATGTATGCCTTAGGTTCTCTTCTGGTTATGTGACGCGCACTTGTCGTGAGGTGCACTCAAAATAAATATCAATACAACACTTATACGTAGTATAGCGTAGTAAGGTTCGTATCCGCAGGGAAAGGAATACTTCTCTTCTTATAGAAACAATTAAGTAATAATAAAGGGGGGTTTATATTTGGTTGATGAACTTTAAATTATATTTAAACACGAAGATGAACGAGTTATGTAGTTTAATTAATGAGAAGAAGGCTTGGCTTTGCTTTTATCCACTTAATGAAATGTTCGTCGATCCCGGTTATATCTTTAACTATCTTCCTCTCGAATACTCAAACGAGGAGTATTTCCAATTCATCGAGGGTAGTTATTAATAACGAGACGCGTTCATTAATAAAATTTACTACCGAGTCAATATAGAACACGCGCCGTATATTTACTTGATAGTAGCAATAAAATCAAGATGAAAACGATTGAGATTGATAACCTCAACACAAGCGGTTTATCGGTTTAATCAATATAATTAATTCCCCTTGGCTTACTAACCATGAGACGCATGCATTAGCAACCCAAGTTTACTACTGTGAAAGGACCGAGTTAATAACAAGCGTATTAATCGACCGATTCTAGTATTAATTAATATATGAAACAAAACTAGTTGATCCTTTAAGTATTGCTCAAAATAGTAATATGTAATAGGAATAAGAATTAATTAATATTCAAGGAAGAAGATCAAAGAAAATAACTCACAACTTACAATTCATTAAGCTTCAAAGTAGCAAAACCAAGATGGAAGAGTTTAGCTCCTCATTTGGAGACTAAACATGATAGAAAATATAAAGAAAACACTAATCTAAACTGAGCTAAAGAGTATATGTGAATTGGTGATTTTATTGTGAAGGAAAGGGGTGTATTTATAGGCTTTTGGGAGCTGCAGGGTCTGATACCCGACCGGGTATATAGGATACCCGACCGGGTATCTCAGGAAATTGCCCAGAAAGTCACTTTTCTGGGCATACCCGATCGGGTATGTCGGCATACCCGATCTGGTATGTGACAAATCTTCACGAAAATTTGCTCCCACGATCATTTGTTCCCGGATTTGATTTGGACAATCGAATCAAGTGAATACCCGATCGGGTATAGGCAATACCCGACCGGGTACATGAGTATTTTTTCCAAATCGAAATCTTTCTTGTCTCCTTGCACTTTCCTTGATCTTTTAAGGTCCAATCTTGATCCCTTCGATGATCTTTGACCTGTTTAGCTCAGAATAATCCTAATCTAAACAAATTACAAATAAAAATGAAAATAAAATATTACACCAAAAGTGTGTAATTTCCACAACTACAACTAATAAAAACTAGTTAAAAATACAAACATACAATCGGAAATTACACGAATATCAACTCCCCCACACTTAGCTTCTTTACTCGTCCTCGAGTAAAGTCAAATGTTTAACACTTTCAAATCCTCAAAAGTTCAACAATCAACAAGAAAAAGCAAAAGACCACCAAGGATAAAACATTATTTTTTTTTTACATTGAGTTTTTAGCTCAATAAAAAAAAAATAACATCTTCTTGGGTTTCATGGCCTTCTATGCTCTTTTTTTTCTTCACCTCTTTTATTCTTCTTTTCCGTCAAGAGATTAAATGATGTTCTGCAAAAACAAATATATCTCTCATATCTCTCATTTTGCCTAGGAGCCTTTTCAGGTTTTCATCCTAGCATCTCTTTTTGTTTTTCCATCCTTTCCAATTCACTCATTTTTTTTATAAGCCCTTTTTGCTTAGATTGCCCATTTTTGGGTTTTCAACCTAACTAGCATTTCTTTTTTTTTTTTTTGTGAAGAAAATAATGCAAGTTACAAGGTAGAAAAAATAATTGCGTACCAATGAGTGACTCCCCCTCACTTAACTCGGAGCACTGTCCCTAGTGCTCGTTATTGCCATCACTTTTTTGTTTTTGTTTTTTTGTTTTTTCTCGAAAATATAAAGTTGTGGATTGGGAGAGGGGTGAGTGCTTCCAAGAGTTTATGGATTAGAGGGTATGTGGAGCAAGAGGAAAGTGATGAGAACAAGATTATGAAATTTTTGTGGGGTTTGGTGGGGGATTTGGATAGATTTTGAAGAAAGAGGGATAGGGTTATGAGGTTTGGGGTGATTGGGGTGGAGTTGTATGGTGTTTTGGAAGATTAAATATGAAAATTGTTGAAGAGGAAGCTGCTAGAGAAAAAAAACATTAAACACACAATAATGTACCTCACTTGGGTTGCCTCCCAAGAAGCGCCTTATTTAACGTCGTGGCACGACGCCATCATTGTTCAGTCGTTCAAGCTTGGATCGTGATGATTCATTTTCTTCACATTTTCACTCCTAGAACTTTCGTAGAAATTCTCAATTTTCCGACCCTTCACTTTGAAAATCTTTCCAGGATCAAATATCCAGATTTCCATTGATTCATGTGGTGAGAGGGAGAGAAAGAAATTATAGTTTAGCATGGTCAGTGGAAGGTGTTTCGATCCCTCCATTTTGCTGAAGATTTCAAAGATGGCAATGTCATTTTCAATTTTACGAGTTTCCCCCAAAGCTTCCAAAACTGATGGGGGTACCTCAAAGAATGACAAAGATAAAAATGTGATCTTGAAGCTCGACTCATCCTCTTCTTTGACCATTTGGAGCATCATGTCTTTTTCTTCTTCTGGATTTTTGGTCTCCCTTTGCATTTTCTTCCCATTTGTCAATGTGACTGCAACAACTTGCTGTTTAGGACCCTGTTCTATTTGAGAGGGAAGTTTCTCAAAATATTTTGCTTCCGATTGATCCACAACACTTTGCATTTCATTCACTTGATTTTTCAAGTTCAATTCGATGGACCTTGTTTCTTGTGGGAATGATGCCATATTTTGTTGCATACTTGTCACGTTGATAGTGAGAGCTTGGATCATGTCCTCCGTAGAAATGTTGGAGAATGGATCATACCTCATGTGAGGTATTTCCCTTTGAAAACCAACATCATTGATTTGCTCCAGGTATTCTTCTTGGAACTTTGGGCAAAAATCCGTAAGATGCCTGTGAGACATGCAAATGTTGCATGTCTGGACATCTTGAAAATTTGAACATAAAATATACTCCTTTATTAGAGATGTCAAGACGGAAATTTGACTCTCTAGCGAAGATATGTTGGTATCCATATACTCATGTAAGCTCAGAAAAGAAAAGTGAACTTTTTTTTGTGTTTTTTTTTTTATTCTTTTTTTGTTTTTTGAAATAAAAATAAAAAAGAAAAATTATTGCCTTTCCCCGGCAACGGCGCCAAATTTTGACGCGCACTTGTCGTGAGGTGCACTCAAAATAAATATCAATACAACACTTATACGTAGTATAGCGTAGTAAGGTTCGTATCCGCAGGGAAAGGAATACTTCTCTTCTTATAGAAACAATTAAGTAATAATAAAGGGGGGTTTATATTTGGTTGATGAACTTTAAATTATATTTAAACACGAAGATGAACGAGTTATGTAGTTTAATTAATGAGAAGAAGGCTTGGCTTTGCTTTTATCCACTTAATGAAATGTTCGTCGATCCCGGTTATATCTTTAACTATCTTCCTCTCGAATACTCAAACGAGGAGTATTTCCAATTCATCGAGGGTAGTTATTAATAACGAGACGCGTTCATTAATAAAACTTACTACCGAGTCAATATAGAACACGCGCCGTATATTTACTTGATAGTAGCAATAAAATCAAGATGAAAACGATTGAGATTGATAACCTCAACACAAGCGGTTTATCGGTTTAATCAATATAATTAATTCCCCTTGGCTTACTAACCATGAGACGCATGCATTAGCAACCCAAGTTTACTACTGTGAAAGGACCGAGTTAATAACAAGCGTATTAATCGACCGATTCTAGTATTAATTAATATATGAAACAAAACTAGTTGATCCTTTAAGTATTGCTCAAAATAGTAATATGTAATAGGAATAAGAATTAATTAATATTCAAGGAAGAAGATCAAAGAAAATAACTCACAACTTACAATTCATTAAGCTTCAAAGTAGCAAAACCAAGATGGAAGAGTTTAGCTCCTCATTTGGAGACTAAACATGATAGAAAATATAAAGAAAACACTAATCTAAACTGAGCTAAAGAGTATATGTGAATTGGTGATTTTATTGTGAAGGAAAGGGGTGTATTTATAGGCTTTTGGGAGCTGCAGGGTCTGATACCCGACCGGGGTATATAGGATACCCGACCGGGTATCTCAGGAAATTGCCCAGAAAGTCACTTTTCTGGGCATACCCGATCGG